CTATCGGAATGGCACTGGCTACTCTGGGTAGTGACCTCTGAGACATCCAGTTAATTTTAGCGGGCGCCATGACTGAGTAACAATTAAAGTCATTGACTGAGCACCGCCAGTTATCGCGACTACTTGACTATTGCTACGTCTTTGTTCACAACTTCTTACGTATGTACCTCTATTCTTCACTTGTCAACTCGTAGCTTCCACGTTAACATTGGTTTTATTTATTTGTTAAATTATTAAAAAGCCTTAATATGCTCTGCTTGCGACCTTGTTATATTTTAGGTGTACCAGCTTTGCGTATTAAATTTTAGGAAGTATTGTGACTTATAAAAACTTTGAACAAATGGTTTAATGCAACAATTTTTGTAGGCTAAGTACGTGTGGCGTTTGGTGGCTGGCCTGATCCTGCTGACTGCAGCAGTGGTCACCGCAGAAGGTGAAGTATGGGAAGAAAGCGATCACGAGGTCCTCATCCGTAACGAGAGGGGTGCTAAAAATAGAGGTTAGTATTTAGAACGCACAAAACTAACGACGCTTCCGATGCATATGAATTAATTTTAGTATTTCTGGTTTAACTGTTATTCATCTAGTGAGGCAACCTGTAGCCAAACTGTTGGAAAATACTATTTACCTGCATATAAATTCGATTGGCACGCTTTACCGCTGTGAAATTGAAAGCAAGTGGTTTTCATTCAAACACGAATTGTTGCTTTTATCCCAGTTTACCGCGTGGTATTTTTTCGAACTTTAAGCGTGATTTAGGAGTAGGATTTTTAATTGACAGGTTCCTGTTTATACAACTTAGTACATTCAGTTTAGGAACTGCCGAGATAATATTGATAGAGATTCTCACTTTCACATTTCAATTAAATATTAGATACCTAGGTCATAGGTACTTTTAGTTTGTAATGTTTTTAATAGTTTAGTATGCTGTTTTGCCATAGTTAAAAAAATATTAAGGTAAATTATCCACAATAACTTGTGAATAACGAAGTTATATAGTACAAGCTGTAGGTTATAACTATTGGATAAATAATTATGAATGATCAAAACGTATTCATTTATGGTAACACAATTTACAGACACAAAGATGGCAAAACATTTACCAAGATGTTTTGTTTTCTTATTTATGTTGCTACCCTACTTCGGCACAGCTTAAAATAAATCCCTCGGGTCGCTGTCTTTAACTCATCTGCACATGTTGGGATGCATTCAAAACTCTCAAGTTTTTGTCAATGAAAAAATTACATTGGAATAACAGAATCCGTTACGTTCGTATAGTATAGTAACCAATCCTTAAAGAATAAATGTTTAAAAAAATGTTGTATTGTGGACTATTCTAATTGTTCCTAACTTTTTAATTACTGTAATACATATATTATTATGTATACCTAACCACTAATTATGTAACAGATATCTGAATTGTTATTACCACCGATAAATATTTCATGAACTGATTTTGCCATTTTAAAGGTGATTTTGTAACACATAACATAACATCACGCCTTTTATACACGAAAGGGTAGGCAGAGGTGCACATTACGGCACTTAATGCCACTGTACAATGTAACACCCACTTTTCACTATTTATGTTATGAGTCCCATGTAATATGGGGTGAGGCTATTGCTATACTACCGGGCACAATTCCAGACTTCATGCTACCACTGAGAAAAACCCAGTAATAGTTTGCCCGACTCGGGAATCGAACCCGAGACCCCTTGCCCGGTAGTTGCACTTGCGAATACTCGGCCAACGAGGCAGTCAATCATGGGTGATTTTGTATACAACAACAATATCAAAAAATCAAAAGGGTTACATAATGCCTGAATTAATTCTTAAAAAAAATATTTTAGAACGCAGTCTGCACAGACTTAGCGTCTGTCACAATGATGAACGAATATCAGGGAGAAGTAAAATTCAGTTATGTGATTAATGATACTATGAATTCTAATAACACAGAGACTTGCCGTTACATTCGGGGAGCTTGGAGCGAATGTGACGCTAAGACTAACATTCGCTCTCGGAAACTCACTTTGAAGAAGGGAGACCCGGCCACCTGTGAGAGTGTCAAAACTATCCAGAAGAAATGCAAAGGTACCTTAACTAATAATTTACATCTACAGGTCGGAATGTTATTCGGATTTAATTCAACGTTATACATATAGCTATTTGTCGAGACAGAAAATAGAAGAACGATCTTATCTCACATTATTAAGTACTCAGGACGTGACAGCACTTATAAATCATTCAAGTAATATTATGTCACATACGGTCTTCCTTGTGTCTCTAATTCTATAATTGCTGCGTTTCCCGGTTCTTTATCTGTTGCGTATTTCCTTTCGTCGTACTACAATTCTACATCGCTCCTTATAAAATTAGTCTTTGGTAGTTATTATAGTTTTCATTAATGTTCCCAATTTAAAAACCTTCCATGGTTATTATTTAGTCCGATCAGATTGTCTTTTTTCAATTTTGCGATTATCAACTCTTGTGTGATTACGTAAATGCGATTATGAAAATAATTGATTTACTGCAATCTTTTGGTAGGTTTATAAAAACGTTACCTGGATAAGGGTTCTCTATAGACACCCTTTAGTAGGTGAAGTATGGTAGTTAATTCCTTTGAGATTGATTTGACCTGAATTCAAACATGTCCTTTTACGTACTTAGCTTGCCGTTACGAGAAGTCTTCGTGGAGCGAGTGCAGCCCTAACGGCGAGATGTCTCGTACCGATGTGTTGAAGGCTAATAGCGACCCTAGTTGCGACCAAAGTAAGCGCGTAACTAAGAAATGCAACAAGAACAAACAGGTCAAGACCTCTAAAGACAAGGGTAAGAAAGGTCTGTTATCCCCTGCACTATTATTTTAACTACTTATTTACTAACACTTGTTTTTTCACTGTTTTATTATCATTACTCTGGTGAAGTATTTTAAATATAAATATATACTTTCATAAACTGCTTACTGTACCATACTAACAATAAATGTTTAATAATATAAATATATGTAGTCAATAAACGTTCTAAATATCAGGTAAGTTATTGTAAATAATCACAGGATCCTGGCTACTACTTAGGCTACTTATTGCCTTTATTTTTATATATTTGATTGGCCGACGTTCGACCTCTATCTCGCTTGGTGGTAAGCGATCTACGATGGAGCACGTCGTCCCATAAGCAAGCTTCCCTTCAGGAAATACGGACTCTGGCAAATAATGTTCTCTCCACAACTCGGAAAACAGCAGTTGTGTAGTTGTGTACCCAATAGTAGGTAATTCAGGAAGGTAGGAGGTACCTAAATATGTTCGCTGAAATGCATCAAGGTACATTCCAGTTATGGTTGGGCTACATTAGTGTTGAAGTGTCAACAAGATTATGTGAATATTTGTCGCAGCCTCCTAATGTAGCAAAGTTGTGGCGATGAGCGACGACGATGTTGGTACTATCGGTGTAGTTCGTAAATTGGCGCGCATTAACCTCTTATCTGTGAGACACAATAGAAAACACATCGCGTCTTGCGTATATACGCAAGACGCGATGTGTTTTCGCGACGTAGATATCTACGTTCCACGTTTTACCAGTAGTTAAAGCGATTTGTCGGTGTAATTCACCTCAATGCATTTGCGTACATTATTGGTGCACATACGACCTTGTCAAGTTAGGAACAATACAACACCCCTAAAAGTTGTTTTATTATTTTTTTCTTTTCCAGGTCGCCGAAATCGTCAATAAGATTTGATGTCCCTTGAATTATGATTGAACTTTCTTATTGCATTGCTCTTGGTGCATCTGTTTATGTAATAGTGCCAAAATAGTGAAAACATCCTTAAATCGTTTCTTACAAACAATCATTACTATAATTAGCTACAATATATTTCACAGTACAATTTGTCTCTTAATATTGAATTGTATGACACTAGATAATGTTAAGTAGATCTTATTACTTATTCCTTTTATTAATGCTGGTAAATCATAATAATTCTTTAATATTAAGTTAATTAATTAAATAAATAAATAAGTACTTAAATTAAATTGCTGTTTAATTTATACTCCTATGGTGTATCGCCAACCCGCATTGAGCAAGTGTGGTGATTAATAAAGCCTTCTCCGTGCTAGAAGACGCCTTTGGTCAACAGTGTCTACTTATAGGCTGTCGATTGATGGAGTATTGAATCTTACAGTTGTTTTTTTGAGGGGTGGGGGAATTATCTGATGATCTAGAGCCGGCAGTAATCCCGCTCTAGGTGAGGCGTGAGGAAGTGACAGACTCGTATTTAAAACCACCCATTCCAACTCCTATGTTTATAAAGAAACTAGTTAGAATAATCGACTTTCAAAGTTAGTAAAAACTGTTAGATAATATTCTTATGACTGCTATCTAAGTATCTACTCGATAGATGAGAAGTGGGTGTTGGTATTAGATAATTAAAAATAATTTGTCTATGTAAGTTGCTAGCACAATAATTAAAATCTGTAAGGTTTTCGTTTCGGTTTTTCCTGTCCTGTATATCCTGATTTTAATCTTTTTTTATGGTATAAGCCGGTAAACGAGCAGACGTATCATCTGATGGTAAGTCGGTAAGTCAATCGTCGCCGCCCGACGCCGACACCAAGGCGTTTAAAGTGCTTTACCGGCCTTTTGGGATTTGCGAATTTGAGGATTGTGGAGGATTCGGGAATTTAGGAGTCTGGGGAGGAGCAGGGCGTAATTGGGCCTCCGGTAACCTCCCTCACACGACGAAACACAACGTAACCGTTGTTTCACGTCGGTTTTCTGTGAGGCCGTGGTATCACTCCGGTCAAATCTTCTTTCTACCTCCCCACCAACTTTCAGACAAATCGAGGTTTCCGCTCTTGAGTTATGAATAATGTAACGAATACGACTTTCGTTTATTCACCACGAAGTACTAATATTTGAGCAAACTGTACGTCTAATATCTGTAACACGGTAGGTTAATGATGATTAGGCGCCTAAATAGTAAACATTTCAAATAAACAACAGCATTATTTTTACAATTTAGCTTTATTCAATCTTTTAAAATGTCTGGTGATGAATTTAAGCCTCATTCAATTTATCGAATAAATATTTTGCACCTATATTTAAAACGTCTCCCATAAAAACTATTGAATGAGACTTAAATGTTGTCAACAGACATGTTATTATAATAATAATAATAATTTAAATAAATAAATAGTTCATCCTTATCTAAAATAAATAATAATAAAATATTACATGCTGATACAAAAAACATAATAGTACAAAATTAAAAAAAATGACAGAGTTCGTGTGTGGATTACTGTCTAGTGGAAGTAATTGTATCTAAATATACATTACTATCCGCCAACTATGAACTTTAAATGTTTGTCGTTAAATATCACAGGTAAATGAATGCGCGGACGTGTTGTCGCATCACTTGAATAGTTGTTTAGCGTAGTGCCATATCCTGAAGAAGTACTCATCGCGTCTCAGAAGTGAGCCTCGCGCGTAAGATCGGATATCCGCGTCCATATTGTGTTCGCGCATCCAGGAAGTAGTGGTCTGCGTACTGAACGATGTTGGTTCCGTCATTTCGGTCTGCTCGCCAATCTCCTCGTCTGCATGAGAGTCTGGAAAAATTGTTGTTTGTAAATCATTAACAACTATTTCTGTCCAACTTGTTAACATTTTAAGCCACTTGCTTAGCAGTCGTTCTTTTGTCATTCCTACTTCTGGCTCTTGCTGGGATACGTAAGCTATTAGAGTTGACAATGTCAACTAGTCAAACGCAATACTTATCGAAATGACAAAAACATTGTATTATTATTATACCTAGTTACTTGTCTATGAATTTTGAACAATGTGTTGAAACTTATATCGTCCCAAAATGAAAGTATTATTATTTAGGTAGGTATTATTGTGTCGCGTAATATTTTTGTTTGAGGAAATTATCCAATTAGTGAATAAAATCTGCTTACCTTCTCCAGGAATAACCTTGTAAGGTTCTTCTGACTCTAACGGCTCACTGATTCCGATTTCATTGCGAGCATAAATTCGTATCATATAAGTGTGATTGTCACTCAAGTCTTTGATATTGAATTTAAGTGTCTGTGCGTCGACTTTTCCTACTTCCATCCACATTGTTTTAGTGACGTCACGGATAGCAATATTATAGCCTAGCAGTGGTGCTCCACCGTCCCATTCTGGAGTACCCCACGATGTCATGACGATGTTGCTACCAACTGTTCGTATTTCAAGTGGTGCAGTTGGTGGTGATGGTACAGCTGCAAGTGGAAAATAGTGTTAGAATAATTTTTTTACGCACCTATATCAATTTCCACGTTGCTGCAAATAATACTTACTTGCATGTTTTTCTAGTCTTACTCCTTGGGACTCTGCTGGTAAACTAACCCCTATGGCGTTCTCAGCGGATATTCTGAAGATGAGCTCTTCCTTTTCTTTAATATTTTCTATGCAGTGTTCGTAAACTGTTCCACTGACAGTTATAACTTTGGTCCAAGTTTTGGCTTTAGCAGTCTTGTATTCGATGATGTAATCTGAAATGTAATTCATGGATACTCTTTAATACACATAAAATAATGAATACAAATACCTTTACCAAACGAAATAGTTATACCCAACTATTATCTTCAATCAAATATGCAGAAGGGCATCAAAATCTGATCGTTTCGAGAAATCGTTATTGATATTAAAATAATAATAAAAGGCATACTTACTCGTCACAATACTTCCTCCGTCGCTCTCAGGTGCGGCCCACTGCAGAGTCACTGATCTTGAAGTGGTTTCCTTTACAGCAAAGTTTAATGGCTGCGATGGGGGAGCTGAAATGAATTATTATTTATTATATTCTAGGTATTAAGACAAATACACTATATGCTAAATTGAGGAAATATAGATGGATATGGGTTGAATATAAAATAATTCCTCTTATATAAGGTTGAATATATATAAAGTAATTCCTCTGTACATAGTCATATAACAATGTCAATATCACAACTTACACAAAGTCTTTCCGATTGTAATTTTCTCGTCTGATATGTAAGGCAGACTTATTCCGATTTCATTTCTTGCGGTTATCCTAAATTGGTAGGTAGTGTTTATTGTTAATTTCTCTATTTTAGCGCTAGTCTTGGTAACTGTAGCCACGTGTTTCCATTTCTTCCCTTCTTGTTTAATTTCAACACTATAATCAATTATTGGTGAACCTCCATTTTTCTCTGATGGATACCACGTTATTGTTAGAGAGTCGTTGTTTATACCGTACAAGCCCAGCGGACCAAGTGGTGGAGACGGGACATCTGTGAATTATATAATGAATTGAAATAAGGCTGACGATCGGTTTCATTGTTATATTAATATTTATAGGAAAATCTGGTATTTGAGACTTTTTAATTAAATTAATTTAACTTGATTATAATAAATAAACTGTACCGAGAGCTGTCTTAATGACAATAGGTTCACTTTCCAAAGCTTCCGAGAACCCAATGGGATTTTGAGCCATGACACGGAACATATATTCACAGTTTTCATTGAGTCTTTGTATGCAGTAGGTCTCCACATCTTTGTCTACATCTGCTACTTTGACCCACTTATTGGTGTCAGGTTCATGTTTTTCAATTGCATATTTTGTCAATTCTAAACCGCCATCATCACGAGGTGGTTTCCATTCAATTGTCACTGATTCTCTGCTAATCTCTCGCATTACAACCGGACCTTCAGGTTTGCTAGGTTTATCTGGAACATCAATTTACTTTTACTATAAAATTGGGTACAAGTTATGCCTTTTAGGAAGTAATCAAGATAGTATTCAAGTACTTATTGCATAATGTAAAAACATACAGGTGGTTAGGAAATACAGTAGCAACAATATCAAACCCAGTCGGGTACAGCAAAATATTAATGTCATGTCAAAATTAATAAAATGGACATTAGACAATTAAATTATTGTAATATATGGATGCTATCACTTCAGTATTTCTTTATCTAGTATATGAATATAATGTATTATGTATTTAATCTATCTTTAGTAGGTATATTTAATTTATATAATTTTAAATTAAACCTTCAATTATTTTAAGGCAATTACATTATAACGAGATGAAATTTTTAATTAGATTTAGTAGTCAGGTATGTTTATTCTAATTAAGTATGTTACTTACCATACACCTTTAGTGTAATATCGAAGGATGTAGTTCCAGCTTTATTCGAAGCTTCAATTGTATATTTTCCTGAGTGAGAACGAACCAGGGAAGATATTTTGATGATACTAATATTATCTTCGGTTGTTATTTGAATGTCTTCCGATTCTACTACCTTGGAGCCATTGCAGTACCAATTAATTGTAGGTTTGGGTATACCCTTGATTAAGGCTTCCACAGACCAGTTTTCACCAACTCTGTATTTTTGTTCATTATTTTCATTTGATACTGTGATTGTAGGCTTCTGTTGTACTTCAACGTTGCACGATGTTTCTGTTTCTCCGTGTTCATTATTAGCAATGCAACTATACCTTCCTTCAGTATTTTCCATTGCCGTAATTACCAAGGTAGCCACTCTATTAACATAAGTTGCTTTAGCTGTTTTTAATTTCTTGTTTCCTTTGAGCCATGTTACTTTCGGTTCTGGTACACCTCCAAATATACACGTGAGTTCTATATCTTCATTTGGTTCACTAATTACGTCTTTAAGTGGTTTTTCAACAGTTGGTGCTTGACCCTTTAATATTTCTTGGACAAGAATATATTCTGTTGTTTCAGACGCCTCACTTACTCCTACTTCGTTAACTGCGTACACTCTGAATCTATAAGAGGACTTGGTCTTCAGTTCACCAACGGTGGTTTGGGTCTTTTTGATGTTCTCAATGGACACCCATCTGAAAAATGATATTATGTAGATTAATCCATTGCTCTATTTTCATGACGGACAATTTACTCACTATTGTAAACACAATATGATGGTTTGCAAACAAAGTATATAATTTATAAGTACTTACTCTGTTGTATTAATTTCTTGATATTGAAGGATGTAATATTCAATTTCTGAATTTCCTTTATCTTCTGGTTCATCCCAGCACAAATTAATTGAATTATTAGTTGTTTCTAGAACAGTTGGCTTTCCAGGTGGTGAAGTTGTGTCTGCAATGAATATGTTAATGTATCATAAGTTCGCATAATAAAAAGGTAATTAATAAATAAAAAAAATTTATGTTGATGATTCAGTATAGCTTTATTTATTTTCTGAAATTACGTACTATGTAACTAGGTTCTTACTAATATTAAAATACACTTAAGAAGTTCATAATTATATTTGTGAATCATTAAACTAATTTTACGGGCAGATGGGTAGTAATAAATAAATGTTATAATTCCGTTTTCCAAAATCTAAGGGAGACGTTCCAATGTATCTGCCTGCCTAAAAGCGTATTTGAAGGCCTTTGTGTATTCGCGAAATTCGGCAATACCTTATCTATTTCAGTAACTAAATGACTCAAATGAATTACTTTTTTGGTTTGAAATCTTGAAAGGAAGTGCCCGAACAAAAGTATAATTGTTTCCTGATAGAACCTATTTGGAGTTAACCATTAGGTTAATGCGCTCACATTAGGAAAATTGCAGGGTCTAAGGATAACTTGGCACTCCATGACCCAGGATAGCCTTTCACTCACGCAGCTTTTGAATGTTTTTAGGTATGGTGACAATAAATAAACAATTTTCCCAGAACAAGCGGTAATTAATAACTAAAACGAGTAACCTTAATATTTTTATTATGTATAATAACTATTTCCATGTAGTTCCATCTATTTATTGAAGCTAACTATCGGTAAGCTTTTGTTCCAACAATGTTAGATTTTGACGGCACGATTGGCTGGGCAACCGGTTATTGCACAAAGTGTAGCGGTTTCGGTTCCCGCACGAAGCAACTCTGTGTGTGATCCACGAATTGTTGTACGGGATCTGAGTGTCATGTGTATGTGAAATTGTATATTTCTAAATGCACCTACGTTGTTCATTAAACGTGGTCAACGTTTAAAAAAGAATTAATTTAGCTAACAAAGTTTATGTCGGGAAAGTTTTGTATTAGAACGCATTAGGGTTTTGTCAAGTTTTTGTCAAATAGAAAATAAGTCATTTCAGTTCGCACTTTGACTCTTACAGTATTTACCTATAGTAGGAGAGTCCACTATCCTGAATTTTAATTTATTTTGAGACCAACTGGATTTTGAGGATATTATGATGATAAAAACATAAAAACATATTTAAACAACGTTGTCATCTACCGATGGAGGAGGGGAAAATCGAAAGAAAATTGTGATAGGTACCTATCGGCCCGTCAAATATAAAACTCTGCCGGTTTGCACAATGAGGTTGAACGTGTGGGAGAAGACCTTCTGTATGTTCCTGAAATTAGTTTTATATAGGCACTTACCTATGACGACTACGTTGATTTCTACATGTGTTTCTCCACAATTGTTTTCAAGACGCAGTTTATAAACTCCAGCATCAGAATTATCAACCTTTTTAATTGTGAGACTCGCTGCCTTTGCGTCAATTGAGGGTTTGGTATGCTTGGTTTTCTTAATTATTTTAGAATTTACCACCCACTCGTCGTTAGGTTGAGGAACACCTTCATACTGGACGTGCATAGTAACATCTCCACCTCGTTTTATCCTGTATTCTCTCTCGTATCCGAGTACTTTTGGTGGGAATTCCACAACTGAAAATATTTTAAAATATGAATATATAATATTAAAGGCAGTACGAGCGTTTATGCCATACAGTATTAAGAGTATTTGACAGCCCGGGTTTTCATTCGAACTATCAAGTCAAAAATCTTGGAAACTACTGAACTGATCTTAGCAATTCAAATAAATAAAACTTAAAATCCTTACCTTCTACTTTTAATTTTGTAGAACACTTCGCATCAAGTAAAACACAGGAATAGTCACATTGGTCTTCTTCTGTACATTTTCTTATAATTAAAGTACGTTTGGTAACATCTGATATCAACGTGAATTTTTCGGTATCTTCAATTATTGACTTCTTTTTATACCATGTGACATCCATAGTTTCATCAGGTATTTCAACTGTCAAATACGCATCTGTGTTAGCAGGAACCACAGTTACTTCTGGTAATCTTAGAATAAAGTCAATGGAAGGTTGTTCCACTATTAGCCTAGCTGCACATTTATCGTTTCCGACTTCACAACTGTAAACTCCAGCATCCGACATTTCACAGTCATAGATTTTAAGTTTCTGTTTTTTACCATCGATTGTTAGTTGTATATGATTCGAAAATTGGATTTCTGAACCATCTTTGAACCATTGTACTAAAGCGTCTCCTTTTGTGAGTTCAATGTCAAATGTTGCTTTATTTCCTTTGTTTACTTTCTGATCTTGTAATCGAGATATAATTTCAGGAGGTAGTTCTACAACAGTTACTTCTGCCGTACAGGAATCGTCTCGTAGTTTACATGTATATTCGCCTTCATCATGAACGGAAGTATTTCTGATAAATAACTTACGAACGTTTCCTCGTTTTTCAAGTTCATATTTATTTTTCTTAGCCTTAATTCTTTCACCATCCTTTTCCCAAACTACATCCGCTGTTTCTGAATTAATTTCAACTTCCAAAATTGCAATGTCTCTTTCTTTCACTTCGAAATCTTGCAAGCGTCTAATAAATTCAGGGATAGTTTCATGGACAGTTAGCTGGGTACTAGTTTCTTGATCTTTCACAACACATTTTATTTCACCAACGTCTGTTAGTTTAGTCTTTTTAATTCTAAGTTTATGAACTCTGCCTTCTTGAATTATCTCTCTGTGGTCCATTCCACTCACTTCTTTATCGTTGTGATACCATTTTGTTGAAACTGTGTGAGATGTATGACATTCAAGGATCACAGTCTTTCCTTCTTCTGTTTCATAACTCTTTTTTAAATTCTTAACGAATCTTACTTTTTCAACGTCTATTGTAACTCGTGCTCCATGAGAAGCTTTGCCTGCGCTATTAGATGCAACGCATTTGTAATCACCAGAGTCAACTTCAGAATCTACATTTGTTATTATTAATTCTATATTTTCACCATCGAAGTTCTGCGTGACTGTTTCAGATGGTGTGATTATGTGGTTGTTTCTGTACCATGTAATAGAGGGTACTGGATTTCCTGTAACTTTTGCTACTAATTTTATGATTCCATTTTCTTTTACTGTAATTTCTTGGAATCTATTAATAAATAGAGGCGGTTCAGCATTTTCTTCGGTCGGTTCTGTAAAAAATGTAAGTAGTGAAAACAATTAGCAAAATAATAAAATGAAACCTGAGTTTACACAAAATCGCATTAACGTACTAGTTATGCCAATGAAACTAATAATAATACATAAGTAAGTGAAAAATAAGAAAGTATTTAGAATATTCTTACCTTCTATGTTTATTACGGCAGTTGTTTCTGTAGACCCTTCTGAGTTCACAGCTTTCAACGTATAAACTCCGTCGTCTTTACCTTTTTTGGGTTTTATTATAGTAATAGTATGAGTATCTCCATCAGATTTTGTCGTAAGTGATTTCACAGGCTTATTATTTTTGTACCAAGTTACTGATGGTTGAGGATTTCCGACGACTTGTGTTGATAGAACTACGCTTTCTCCTTCTCGTATTGTCATATTTTTGAGTGGTTCGATAACTTGTGGTTTTTCCTTTTCTCCTGTTTTAATTTTTAATACAATTGGTAAACTGGCTTCACCTTCTCTATTGACTGCTACAACTGTGTATGTACCCTCTTGGAATTTCTTAACGTCATCAATTTTTAAAACACTGCAGTACATATGCATGTCGGATTCGGTAGCTATAGATATACTTTGATTGGGAACAATCTCTTCACCTTTAAATAACCAAGCAATATCTGGTTCTGGAATTGCTACCAATCTACATTCCAAAAATATTTGAGAGCCTTCATCAACATACTGAGCTTTTGGTCTCTTTGAAAATGTTGGTGGTATACCCTCTAGAATATCTGCCAAAGAAGATTCTCTAGAAAGGCTCTTTCTAGATAAAACGGTCATTTCGGAACCGTGATCAGACAATGGAGCTTCCACTATTAATTCTGTGGTGCTTGATGCAAAACCTGCAGCGTTCTTAGCTACGCAAGTAAATGTGCCAGCATCTTCAGGGAATACCTCTCTGATGACTAAAGTAGCTACGTTGTCATCATCATAATACATTTGGAAATCTTGTGATGGTTTAATAATAGCAGTTTGTCTGAACCATGTTATCTGTGGCCTGGGATAGCCTTCAACTTGACATTCAAATTGAACAGTTGATCCATCAGGCGTATGTTTAGGACGTAATTTTTCAGTGAATATTGGTGCAATTGCTTGCTCTTCTGGTGTTGGTTCTGTAACATTGTTATTGAATGAGTATCGAATGAGTATCGAATGAATATTGTTACTTATTTTTTTTATAGCCAGAAATCCACATTACGGCACTATTTATGGTATGACTCCCATGTAATAGGGGTGAGCCTATTGCTACATACTGGATACAATGCCGGACTCCGTGCTGATTTTTTTTTAAAAAGCCCTGTAATTCTTATCCCAAAAGCTCGTGAATCGAACCGGAGACCCGATCCCCGGCAGTCTCACTTGCAACCACTCGATTGCAGTCAGTATTGTTATTGAAATGGTAATAATAAATGGCATATGTATAAACACCAAGATAACTTAAAATGTATTTAAATTAGAAATGTGTTTGTAGATATGTCTAAGCTTTCGTGCGACATACTTACTTTCAAATACTGGAAGTTTGTCTATTTTTTCATTTAATTTCTTTTGAAGATAAAGAGTATAATTCGCTTCATCCATTAAATACTGTGCGGGTACCCAACCTTTTTCTTCGGTGAGATGTTTACGTACAAACCACCAATCCTGATTGGTAGTTTCTGAAAATAAAGAGATTTTTAAACATTACTACTCTACTCTGTTGAATTACATATATAGTGTTATAAAAATTGTTTTTATTTTTACCTAATATATATAATCGTTCGCCTTCAACCAAATTAATAGCTTCGTCTGTTTCCGCAACATATGAATAAACAGCAAAAACGGTATCACCACTACGAACGTCGACAGGAGTTTCTGAAAAAGAAAAAGTTTAGTTTACCTAAATTTTAAACGCCAATCTCAAGAGTGCAGTCGCATAAATCTGTCGTTTATAATAGAAGCTAATTTTTACCGAAAACTTCGCAGACGAACCTACATAAGATTTAAAGTTAGAAGTAGGTAGAAGTTAAAGTTAAAGCGACAAGGGCTATAAAAAGCCACGCTTTTTTCCTTTTTTTGAGGAGTGAAATGATTTGTACTGCCTAGAGTGAAGTGAAAGGGAGTGTCAGATTTTTAATGACTAAAATACACCACCGTTGCTACTTCTGCTTTGAACAGAAGCCCCGTTGGGTTATCCGCAGCTATGGACTCTAGACAGAAAGCCATGTTATCCATTCTGTTTTATTAAAAAAAGTTTGAGTGTACAAAAATGACCCTATATTCTTAGAAGGTACTTCCTTATTTTTAGTAATTATGTTTTCACTTTGCATAAATAACCTCAAAACTTATGCAAATTAGAATTAAAATGACTGATTTTTGAGTATTTTTAAATAAAAGCGTGTATTTGTGGTCAACAAGGTGGACGGAATTTATAAAATCAACTACGTAAATCCAGCTCAATCGTGGAGTGCGCGAGCTACGCCACGCGAAATAGGAAAAAATGGAGACAGAGTGACTATGTCAGTGCACGATTTTCTCTTTTTAAAAGAATCGGTAATTTATTTTTCGTATTGTTTTGGGCGTGTTTCTATCAATGCTTTGCATTCTACTATACTTATACTATTCTCTTCATTATCAAATAATTATTATATCGGCACGGGCCTGTATAGGTTGCATCTTTATAAAACGTAAAAACAAAACGTTTATTTACAAATTATATCAGGAACCCTAACTACTTACCAGGAAATTCTTGTTCTCTAGAAATGCTCATCGATACGTCGGCTTCTGGAAACAAAGATGTCAAGTTGTTTGTTACCTATATAATTGGTTTATTCTTATGATATTCGTTATTTTAAAGCGACACAATTAAAGCTGAATATTTTGCGTATTTTAAAACATGCTAGCAAATTTGCTTTTTCACTTTAGGCTAGGGAGCACTTTTTAAATCAAGCCTTTTTTTTATGAATTACGTATATAATAGATATTATATAATAATTAGTTTAGTAGATTACGCATAGTACATTTAAACATAATATTATTATAGTTTGAGTTGGGTGAGTATATTTTATCAGAATTTATGAAACAGACCTCGTGTTTCTATATACTTTTATTGAATTATTTAGGTTATACAGGTGACTGAAAAAACAAAACGCTACTACAAGCCGTTAATTTAAACACAAGGTAAATAATTATATATGTATATATTAAAATATTTGTATTGCATTTCATACTTAAAGCTTGTTATTAAACGGCTAAAATATTAAGCATCTTTGATCACTGTTGTCTAAATAAATGCAATACCTTCCAATTTTGAGGGCTTTCTAGGTTTTCTTTTAGCTGAAATAGTAATTTGTTCTTCTTCAAAAGCATCCTCATTGATTCTTTTGGGTTTTAACTCAACGCTTAATTCTTCCACTTCGCTAACTTCATATGCCGGTTTTTTTGGTTTACGTCTAATAAACATTTGTACATTTTCATCGGCTTCAGTTTCGCTTAGTATTACTTCTTCTGCTTGACTGTCATCCTCTATTTCTTGTTTAAGTTGTATTAGAGTTTCGTCGGCAGCTTCTGATATAGTAATTTTTTTCTTAGGTTTCAGTTTAATTTTACTCGAGAGTGACAATTCTTCTTGAGTATATTGTTCTGATTGTGGTTTTACATCAAATGTTACCTCTTCTTGTTCGTCAACTATATATCTTTGCTTTCTATCCAATTTAATGTTGACATCCTGGGAAACATCGGTTTCATTATCTTCTTTCTTTGGCTTTGGTATTGTGACCGAAGAAGATATTTCTTCCAATGATGTATCTTGCAGTTCTTTAATTTTTTTGAAAGGCATAACGATATTAGATGTTTCCTCAGATTTTTCGTCGTCGCTCTCTAGTATTTCAATAACATCGGGTGGTGCGTCATTTTCTTCGTAAAATTTGATAGAAGTTTCATTTGCTTCTTCATTGAAAGTAGGTCGTCTTTGTGGTTTGAGTTTTACTTTACTTGACATAGATATTTCTTCTTCAGCATAGGAATCTAGCTGTATGTTAAATTCCTGTTCAACATCTTCTTTTGTCTTCGTAGTTTTTGGCCTGAAAGTAACTGTTTCAGGTTCAGTGACTTCAGGTAGTGTAACTGAAGGTTTTCTTATCGATTTTAGTTTCTTTTTTATTGTTACTTCATCTTCAATTTCTTCGGTTTTTTTAATACTTGGACGTTTTGGTTTAATCGTAAACTGTTGGGGTTCATCTTCCACTGGTTCCTCAAGTTGTAATGATTCATCCTTTTCTACCCCTTGGATTTTAGCTTCTACTATATCTTCATAATCAAACATTGGTTTCTCCAACTCCGTTTTTTCAATTTCAGGTAATTTCGGCTGTTTATATACTTTTTTCTTTATTTTTTCTGCTTCTTTAACGTTTCTGGATAGTATTCCGTTTTGACGAATACTGCCTAAAAATGTAACAGTGGGCATTATTAAACTTGGTGGCCAATCATTTACGTATTTTATTCTGCTTTTCAACTGGAATTTTGGTAAGGTTACCAAAGACGCTTCTTGTTTTGGTTTTGCTGTTGGTTTTTTCAATTTCAGCTTAATAAATTGAGGACCTTCAATATTTTCTGCATGTTGTGGTTTACTTAGTTCTACTTCTTTCCTTTCTATTTTAATAGGAGTAAGTTTGACTTTAGTTGGCTTTTTCTCTGGTTTATCTTCATTTTCTGGTGCATTTTCTGATGTTATTGTTAAAGGCTTGGGTAGGCTATCTTTCTGTTTTATTTTCTTTACTTTGGTTTTATTTTTAGTTACTAAAGCTGTAGTGTCATCCTCAGATATAATATCGGGTTCAGGTCTTCGGGTAGTATCGGGTTCTTTTTCGTTTTCTTGCTGCTCGTAAGCTTCCGTTATTTCTTCTGGTTCTAGAGGTTTAACTTCCGAATCCATATCTTGTAAAGATGGCTTTCTGGTTTTCTCCTTAGGTTTAGTTTTTGATTTCTTTTGTGTAGGCTTTTCAGTCACGTGTGCAACTGGTGCTTCATCTGATTGCTTTGAAAGTTGCATTTCATCTGTTTGACTTGTGGCTGGTTTTTCATCTGGTTGTTGTGAGGATGTTGTTTCAACTGGTTGTTTTAAGGGTGTTATTTCATCTGGTTGTTTTGAGACTGGTTTTTCATCTAGTTGTTTTGCTGTTGGCTTATCCAAATCTTTTGATTTTAAATTTTTCTTTTTTGGTTTTTCTTTACTTTGTTTGAAATCTTGTGGTTCAATAGAAACTCGTTTATCATCGGGTATATTGTCTGTTTCTTTAGGAGTTTCCATTGGGACAGATTTGTCTTCGTCAATTTCATTGTCATCAACAATTTCTTGTGGGCTAGATTCTGGCTCCTTGGTCTTTTCTTCTGTGATAGTTTTGTTCTGCAATATTATTTCTTTCGGTTTTGATGTCTTCTCGTTCTTATTTTGAGTATTTTCAATAATTTGATCAGTTTCACCATGTTTCTTAACATCCGGTACAGTCTCACTGGAATTTATTTGTTTTACATAGTTGGTTTCCTCTTTTTTCAATGCTATTGGTTTTTCCGATGAGAAATCGAATTCTTCTGGTTTTTCCAATTCAGCTTTCTCCAACTCAGGTATCTCTGTTACTTTAGGAGGTTTCTTTTTCAATTTAGCGGCTTCCTTAATATTTCTTGAGAGTTGGCCATTTTGTCTTACACTGCCCAAAAATGTAATAACAGGTTTTAATTCTGAAGGGGGCCATTCTGAGTTATACCTGATGCGACTCTTAAGTTGTATTTTCGGTAAGGTGACTGTTTTTAGATCCTGTTTGGGTTTTTGTGTAGGTTTTTTTAGTTTAAGTTTCGTAAACTGAGGACCGTCTACTTCCGTTGCATGTTGAGCTTCATCCATAATAATTTCTTCAATTTTTAAAGGAATTGGTTTTATTTTTTTGCTTTTAACTGATTTTTCAACAGGTTCAGTATCCGTAGGATATGATTTTTGTATCTGTTCACCATCACGATCATCGCTAATTTCTGTAAGAAGAAATATTATTCGACATTAATATAAATACATAGCAAAATTTCAAGAAACTTGAATAGTAAAAAACTAGTGAAGTATTTATACATAAATGTGATAATTAAGATAATGTATGTGCCTGCGTATCACGACAAAATGACTCATATAGATCTGTAAATAAAATAAAACATTAAGGGTAGTTGACAGGGTATGAAAACAAACATTACTTAGAAACGAAATAAGTTTATGAGTGGGATTTCATTACGACACACGTTTTTATAAGACGTAGCAACTCGTGAGGTAGCGATATTCCAAATCATTGTACTATCGAAAGTATTTAATTTTGTAAGAAAATAAAACCGGTTCGGTTCGGTAACCTTGGTGCATATTTGTAACCTGAAAATTCGGGTTCTTCCTCGGCTGATTTCGATTTTTAGGTTTGTGTAAATGTATGAGAGGTATGGTGATCTCATAAGTGTATTCGTGTGTGGTGTGTACTGTGATGATCGGTTGTGTGTCATCAGTGTGTTCTGTGGTGATGTGTGTGGTTTCAACTTTAGGGCCTACCT